CGAGCCCATATACTTGGCATTTGTGTCAGGGCCAAGGCCTGCACAGCCTTCTAGAGACAGCCCCGTTCCTCTTCCAGCCCTTTGCCTCATTGGCCTGCGCTCACTTTCTCCACAGGGCCCAGTCCTGCTCTGAGCTCCCTGCTGTGTGCCCTGGGTCCTGCTGCCTTTTAATCAGTCTCCCTTTGCAGTTGCTTCTGTTCTTTTGATCACTAAAGTAAGATATTTTTTGTTTATTCATTTGAATTTATACTAAATGAATTTTTCCTTTCCCTTTTGACAGCTAGCTTTCTTAGTCTATGGCTTTCATTTTGTTATTTAGAAAATAAGATTTGATACTTTCTCTTTGCAAGACAGTATGAGATACTGTTAGAAGATCAGGAAGATGATGACAGCAGTTTTTCTCTTCTCAAGGTTGTTCTTACCTATTCAGAAGAAGTAAAGCTGTGTGCCATCAATTTCTGATGGAATATAGCAAGAGGTACAAATAACTAGAATCAAAGGGCAGGTGTGATTTTGGAGTTGTACAAAGATCTTTCATAGAGCTTACTAATAGTGAATGGAGGTAATTTGGTATAGTGGAAGGAGCTGAATCTTTTGAGTCAGACAGTCCTGAATAAATCTGTTAAATATTCGGTGTGTGAACTTAGCAAGTTACTTAACCTCTTTGATCCTCAGTTGTTGTTGTTGAGTGTGTCTTTTCATTTGTAAAAGTGGAATAAATAATACCTTCCTGAGTTGTTAGGGCGAGATAAGATAATTTTTAAAGTGGCCGGTATAGTAATTGATACAAAGAAGATATAAAGTGAATACAAGTTCCTGCTATAGTTGGAGGTGAGAGAAAGATGTCATGACACCCAGAGAAACCACTTTGGCAGGCAGCATGATTTGGCTCTGGACTCAGCTTTTTAGCTTCTGAAATTCTTGTCAGAGCACCTAGAATAGATCAAATTCAAGAGACTGACTCACTAAAATTTAAGAGACTTGTGCATGAACCAGGATGTTGATTTGCAATGAGGACTATTCGTGTTTATCATTTGGCATTTTCATTTTTCCCTACCTGGGCACACCTTCTTCATGTTGAGTAGGGAAACCAAATTAGTAAAAGAGTGATGGTTTGAAGAGGCTTCAAAGATCAGAACAAGTGGAACTGGCAAATCTCTACAAGCATTTCACTCAAGAGGATGAAATATCCCTTCTTCTAAAAAGAACTGGGTGAAAGAGTGCTTCTCCATAACAGAACATGTTTTTCTAAATATATACAAAGCTTATGTTCATCTGACTCAGAGTTTCTCTCCTTTCACAGCCCAGGGTCTGATGAACACAAAGGCATCTGGCTTTTGTTTTCTTTGATTCCATGTGGAGACCCTTCCTCTTCCTAATGATGTTTTTCTTCGGTTAGTACCAAATACTGTTGGTAACACTGAAGCTTTGTCGGGTATGGTCTCATTCCTGGTATGCTGCCTTGAGATTATACCCAAATCTCCATGTTTAGCTTATTCCTAAAACACAGAATCATGTAGTTACTGATATGTTCTACAGAAAACTCTCTCTTTTCACCTCCTTCATTATGTGCGTGTTTTACTTGTTAAGTTTCAGTTTTTGAAGACCTTGGTGAGCAGTTGGTAGCATGGTGCTGTGTGGTTCCATTCCGCCGTGACCCGAGGTTAGTGAGTAGTTCGTTCGTTTCCCAGCGCTACAGTATTAAAAAGTATCACGTCAGACATGGGGTGTGTGAGACAAGCAAACTGAGTGCCTCGAGCTGAGAGTTGCATCAAACAACTTCTAAAGTGCCTTCCAACTATTGTATGATTTTAAAACCTGTTTTTATCTCTTTACTTGATTTCTTGGCTTTAATAGAACATGTTTTTCTAGATAAATACAAAATTTATCTTCATCAGACAAAGAGTCTCTCTCCTTTTCCAGCCTAGGGTAGATCTTTAGATCCATCCTCTTCACTCATATTCTTTTGTCATTTCTTACTTATTTAGTATCTCATATATTTAATAAGTTTACCTTTTGCTGAAGCATTTTTCCAGTGTCAGTTATGCCTTGCTTGCAATTCTGTAGTGCTATCATCTAAAAAATAAATCCTGAGATCTTATAAACATGCACAGTGTTCTTTTGAGTATAGATTGTAATTGGTCTTTGAATCCTGCTTATATTTTACATAATTTTTACATTTGGGAAATTAATTTTTTTCAATGTTCTTAACTATTTTCTTCATATATGGAAGGATTTTTGATGGCCCAGATTTAACTTCCTTATTTTTATGTAACTGTCTTATCTTTGCAGTTATTAATGAAAATTTTCATTTTCAAACAGTGATTTTACTGGTGTTGAATGAAATTTGACCAAGAAATGTTCACTTTGCTGCTGTTCATTTTACCATCTTCCTGAAACTCCTAATTATTTCTCACTGTTATTTGTCTAGTAATATGGAATATCCTGAATCATTTTAATCAGTATCTTAGGAAACTGATAAATTAACTCACTGCTGGCCAGCATAAAATCTCATGTTCTTAATGACTCTTCATATATCAAGAAAAGAATGGGATTCAAGCAGCCATACAGTCCTTAGTGAGACATGTTCTTAGACCCTTCTCTGAACACAACCATGCAGTGCTCTCAGTGGGATGAACAGGAGACTCAGAAATACTCTCTCCCCAAACTTCAATTTAACTCCATGCCTCTGCTTAATGTCTGACTGCTAAACAGGGTCAGTTTTCACCTCCAGACCCTTCCCTATTGCATTTGTAGAAGGTGGCTGTTGTGTCTGCAGTGATTCTTGACTCCTGATATTTACACCTTGTTGAGTCACTTCTAAAGAATAGAATACAACAGAAGTAATGAGATGTCTTTCTGGTTATAGAAAGACTGCAGCTTCCCTTTGGGGTGTTTTCTGTCACTTTATCTTGGATCACTCACTGTGTATGAAGCCAACTGCCCTCTCTCCCCACAGAGAGGCCTCTGAGAGTGACCTTGAAGCAGGTTCTTTCTGTCAATAGTTGAACTTGAAGATGACTGCAGTTTGCAGCAAGCAGCCTCTTGAAACACCGTTAGTAGGAACTACCTAGTTAAGTCTCCCTGATTCACAGACACTGAGAGATAGTAAATGTTGTCTCCAGTTTTGGGGTAATTTGTTATACAGCAGTAGATAGCTAACATGTTGCACTAGGCTCCTCTTGCCTAATGTGCTTCCACTGAAACCTGCTAGTCCTCCAAGTCCCTGATTTTTCTTTAGAACTCAGTCTAGTCCCAGATTGGATGGTTTCAATTTAATTCAGCCAAGGGCAAGCTAGTTCACCTCTCTGGACCCTAGCTGCTGCTTCTGTAGAATGTGGGGGATTGATTGGGTCAGGGATTTCCAGATCCCTTTCAGCCCTAAAGTTCTCTGCTTCTGTATTTCCCCAGGCCCCGACTCCAGTTTCATCCAAAAAATGAATATGAGAAATAACAGAATCAACCAAACTTTATTTACACGGGGCACCTTGCTTTCCATGTTGACCTGTAGGAGACAAGGCAGCAAGCAGATGTGGCTCCTCGGGGCTGTGCCTCGAGGGAGCTGACCTGCTTCTTTCTTGCTGAATCTTCAAAATCTCTCTCAAAATCCTCAACTTAAAGCATTTCCTCTTTCTCCCTCAGCTAGTTAGGGTGGCCCCAGGAATATGAGAGGCAGAAGCATTACCGGGAAGAACCTGGAGAAGTCTGATCTGGGGGTAGCAGAAAGGTCAGCATGTGAGACGGCTGACTTCTCAATCCAAGACTTGTAGAAACTGATGTTTGTAAATACTCCAGGCTCGTCGATTCCGATGCAGTTTGATCCCCAGCTCATCACTCCTGCTAGAACCCAGAAGTCCTTCACTCTGCACATCAGGGGATCTCCTCTACTGGCCTGAAGGAGAGAGGACATATGGCTAGGCCATGCACAGGGCAAGAGACTAATAGTTTAGCCAAGAGCTGTGGAGTTTGGGCCTGTCCCGACACTCCTGGATTCACCCAGGGACCACAAAGCTACAAGACGTGGAGGAAGCACTGGGGCCAGGAGGGGCTCTGAAAGATGCCTGTAGGAGTGGATTCTTACTATACACGCGCCTGGCTGCCCCACTGGGAGCTGGGAACAGATCATGGCTTCACTGATGGGCTCAGCTCCTCGCAACAAGCTTTCTTTCTGATACTTCTTGCATGTCTGGAGATCAATGAGGTGCACTTGTAGCTCCTTCAGTGTGTAAGGTGGTGTCATAGCTATAAGATCAAAAAGGCAAAGCTGTGTTAAAAATTAGGAAGCAACTTTCAGCTTTGGATACAGTTTCATGCCTTTGATTTTCAGGGATATCTCTGATTTCAAGTTTCTGCCCCCCATCATAGGCAGTACTCTGATTTCTGGTTTGGCACATGGTCTCAAGGCTGCAGTCCCTAGGTCTGAACAAGACTAAAGGCAGTTGTTCCTGCTCAGATACCATAGAGAGCAGAAGAATCTTTTGATTTGGGAAAACGTACGATAATGAAGATGTGAGATTATGTTGTTTGGCTTTGACATGTACTTTTTATGTTCCATGGAATGTAAGAAGGTGGATCTGATATACTGAGACAGTCAGGACTGTTGGTGTGTGAAATCCTCTCAGTCTGACTCGGGACCTGCTGAGGATCCACGTTCATGTCTGCTTCCCTGTCCGCCAGCCCACACGCATTCTACCGGGCACTGGAGGGGAACTGAGAACTCTCTTCTCATTAAGTTCAGTGCCTTGGCCTTTTCACTTTTAAGGTCTTAGAGGTATTGTGACATAGCAGCAAAAGCTGCTGTAAATACGCAAAGCAACTGTAGCAGCAGAAGTAAGAAGGAGGCAGAGAGAAGCTGGGGGCGAGAGGAGAACTCAAAGTCTGCAACCCTTTGGGCTGGTTGCTAGAGAGTAAGAGCACACCACGTCTTGTGCCAGCAGTGGGACAGAGTGGGGGGGATGTCAGTGGAGCAAACCGAGCTCAGAAAATCCACTTATCCTCACACTGGAATATCCCAGGATTGTCCCATCCAGTCACCCAGCAGGAGGCTGCGTTCTTCAGCTGGACTGCTGATGTCGGGAGACAGATGGGCAGGACCAGAGGGCTGAAGGAAAGCGGGCGGGCCAGCTCTGCCACAGCGATGGCACTGGATGGTCCCTGGACGCCGGGGTAGGGGATAATCCTGGACACAGGGATGACCGCTGTTTTTGGGCCTTGGTAACCGGAGACCTGAAGTGACCCCACCAGTACCTCATATTTTCTGGGGTCCTTAGACCTGAGAAGAAGAGGAGCAGAACAAGTAGCATGGGTTTCTCGTGCCTCAGTCGTGCAGTGTCCCAGCAGAGCCCATAGTTCTGGAGGTTGTATTTTTCACCTGGCTAAGCATCGTTTCTTCAATAAGTGCTTAGTATCTCCTGAATATATAAATAAAACTTAGACATCACCTGGATGTCATAGGGCTTTTGGTCTCAAGGGTTGTGTGTCTGTATCAAAAGAGATAGAGAGCTTGGGGGAGAGGGAGGGAGGCAGAGACAACACACAAGTAAACAAGTATCAAATTTTTAATTGTGAAAAACCTTATGAAGACAATAAACAGGATTTTAAGGTAGAAAGTAAAAGATGAGGGAAGAGCCTATGGATTGGATCAGGGAAAGTCTTGTTGAAGAGAGGACCTTTGAACTGAAGCCCACGGGGCAGGAGCCAGCCACGTGAAGAGCTGGAAGGGAAAGCATCCCAGGGAGATGGTGTATGCACAGGCAGTGAGGGTGGGAGAGTGCGGCAGCTTCTAGAGATAGGAATAAACCTGGAGTGGAACGGGCTGATGCAGAGACGAGCAGACACCTAGCAGTTCATGGCTTACAGGTTTTATTATAGGTTCCTGAGCAATGACTGGAGGATTCGAAGGAAGGAATGACATGATTTTGCTTCTGATTAAAAAAAAAATCACTTTGTTGTGTGTATAAAGGTAGCAAAAAACAGTTGTTGTGATGTGGATGAACCTAGAGCCTGTGACACAGAGTGAAGTAAGTCAGAAAGAGAAAAACAAATACTGAATATTGGTACTGACGAACCTATTTGCAGGGCAGGAATAAGAGGCGATACAGAGCAGGGACTTGTGGGCACAGAGAGGGAAAAGAGTGGGTGGGATGAACTGAATGAGTAACATGGATAAGTACACTACCATGTGTAAAATAAACAGCTAGTGAGGAGCTGCTTCTAACACAGGGAGCTCAGCTCGGTGCTGTGATGACCTTGATGGGTGAGATGTGAGATAAGAGGTTGGGAGGCAGGATTGAGAGGGAGGGGATGTTTGTATACATATGGTTGATTCACATTATTGTACTACAGAAACCACAATGTTGTATAGCAATCATATTCCAATTGAAAAAAACCTATTATGCTGTTGCAGTGGTCAAGGACAACTGTACTAGAGTCAAGAGTATTTTATGGAAGTAAAACTGAAGAATTAGGTGTTTGCAGTGAATGTGGAGGGTAAGGGAAAGTGAGGCTTCATATTTCTGAGCAACTGGCTGTGTTATCGCATGAGATGGGAAGAAAGGGAGAGAAAGGTTTGGGATATTGGTGGCGGTAAAATTGTAGTTCTCATTTGATCACGTTGTCTTTGAGATAGCAGTGAGACAGCTGAATAGAAATGCACCAGAACAGAGTTAGGAGCTGGTGATGAAAATGTGGATGCTATCAACCAATCTGTGACCTTTTAAACCATAGGAATAGGGGCAGCCACCTAGAGAGAGGGAAGAGAGCTCAGAACCATGCACCCAGAATGGTGTCAAGATTGGGTAGGGAATTAGATGGGGGGAGGGTGGGAAACTTTTTTTAGACATTCATTTCAGTCAAGATGATTTTCAAATGTGAAGAGACCTATCTGGTACTGAACTAGCTAGGGCAGGAAACATTTGGACTTCCTTCTTAGGAACTGTTTCAGGCAATGCCGGACAAACTCCTCTGCCCTTAGTCCAGGAGCCCGTCACCCACCTCCCTGATGGGTCTCCCCTAAGCAGGGCCCGCACTCACCGGAAGCAGCTTGCCACTGTCAGCACCCACTGCTTTGAGATGAGGGAGGCGGCACAGACGTGAGACAAGCCCTGGCGGATGCTGACCTGCCAGGGCCACTGCCCCACGTTGGCCTCCAGGCCGGAGACGATGCCAGAGAAAACCGCGGGCCGCCCGCAGACTGCCGACGAAGAGGAGAGAGGCCTGGGGGCCTGCCCTGGGACCCTTCCCCCCACACCCCCTCCCCACCAGGCCTCCTCGGCACCAGGCCCCTTCCCCTGTCCCCGGGCACGCCGACCCTGACCGGGGCGCCTTACTTGACTTGACGAGATCCTCGGGTTCCTCCTCATCTGTGCCTGGAGAGAGAAAGGGGGCAGTGCGGAGGGCACCCAGGATGGCTTCTTATTTCCAAGGGCCCCTGGCGCCCCCGCCAGGACTCTCCTCACCCCAAGAGTTCACCTGAGATCCCCAACAGAAGAGGCAGGAGGAAGACGCAGCCCGCAGGGCCCATATTTCTGTCCTCAGAGTCTCCTCCTCCTGCTTTCTGGACTCAGATCCCAGGGCGAGATCAGCTGGGGAGCAGCCTAGAAGCGGAGCCGGAACCGGCTTCCCCCCTTCAGGCGGTCTTGGGCTCCCGCCTCTTCGGTCCGCACTCCGTCCAGATGCTGGAGGGTGCGGCCGCAGGACCCGGGCAGGAGCCAGGGCCTCGGCGCCCCCTACTGCCGGGGCGGACCAGGGTGCGGGGGCTCCCGCCTGTGGGGGACGAGGGGTGGTGGGGGTGGGCGCTAGGACGCAGGGCTCCATTGGCACAGGCACCCTGGTGTGGGCCGAGGCTCGCTCTGCCTCCTCCACCGCGTCTGGGGCTGCCCAGTCGCTCCCACCCACTCCTAGTCCCTGTCCCCGCCGCTCCCGTGCCGGCCAGCAGTGCACTTCTGAGGCAGGTCCCTGAACTGGTGTCCGGAGGGCCGGCCGAGGCCTGCCCCGAGGCCTTGGCCTTGAGAATCGCTACAGGACTGATAAGATAAAAAAGAGGAAGTCCGCCAGTCAGTTAGCTGACCAGTATGTTCTTTCTCCCTTGCCCTTTTGTGCTTCGGTCTCTACCTGGTGTAATTGGTTCTTCGCCTTCCTAAGTCAGGGAATACTTACTGGGTCTTTATGGTGTACAGAGTATTGTGCTAGCTGTGGAGCAGATCTGTAAAGGGGTAGGCATCTTGGGGGTGCCTGCCTCCAAGGGGCCCACACTCTGGTCTGAGAGAGGTGGAATGAGGAAGTAACTCGAGATTTCGACTTGTACTTGGTACCTTACAAGTACCCTCATTACAGAAGGAGGGGCAGGTGGCTCTGAGAGCCGAGGACAGAGTACTGTGTGCTGGCCCAGGCTGTCAAGCCTCATTCCTGGCTTCACCACAGACTGATTTTTGAGAACTTTTGTTCCTTGGTAGCTCAGATGGTAAAGAAACTGCATGTAGTGCAGGAGACCCGGGTTCCATCCCTGGATCAGAAAGCTTCTCCTAGAGAAGGGAATGGCAACCCACTCCAATATTCTTGCCTTGAGAATTCCATGGACAGAGAAGCCTGGCGGGATATAGTCCATGGGCTTGCAAAGAGCTGGACACAGCTGAGCCACTAACACTGGCACTGGCTGATCCTAGACAAGACATCACCCAAGTGCTGAGCAAATGTTAGTGCTGGTTTTAAAAACATGGCCGTGACAAGACAGTCACTGAGACTCTAATGTTCCATATCAACTTCTTGGCACAGAAGGGCATCATGAGTACAATAAAAAGGAATGAGATGAGGAGGCCTATAGAAATAAAGAGGAGAGATTATACTTCCAAATATCAAGGATAGGATTATTATAATTACTGAAATAGAGAATTAATTTAACTTGAAGCTTTCAAGAGATCAAGGCACAGGGAAAAGCTGTGATCCAAAAACAGGGTGAACGTCCCTGGTGGGCTTCCCCGGTGGCTCAGACGGTAAAGGACCCACCTGCAATGTGGGAGACTTGGGTTCGATCCCTGGGTTGGGAAGATCCCCTGGAGAAGGGAATAGCAACCCACTCCAGTATTCTTGCCTGGAGAATCCCACGGACAGAGGAGCCTGGTGGGCTGCCGTAACAATGGGGTCACAGAGAGTCAGACACGACCGAGCAACGAAGCGCAGCACAGCACACTTAGCTCACACCTCACGTCTTATCCCATCTGGTGAGAAGAACCCTACCCTTATTCAGGAAATAACTTTTCCCCGTTGTCAGTTAACTCAGTGAGTTTGTTACAGTACTGTAGAAAGCACAGAAGTTAACATAGTAAGTGGTTTTATAGGTGATTGAGAACATTTCTTGTTTCTTATATTTTTTCTCACAAACGGGGATGTCATCATTTTGAATCATGGTAAAGTCATGTCTGGATGAACTGAACTAACTTAAAAGAAGTGTTGCTATTTCTTGTTATGTAACTTGAAATAAAAGTAGAATTTAGAGAAGATTCCTCTTTCCTCTTTCAAATACCACTCTTTCCAGCTGTGCTTTGGTGCGGTCCGTGTTCTCTGCATACCCTTTGGACTGTCTTGACTTTTTATTGATGTTTTATTTCCTAAATAAGATGAAGAATAAATAGAGGTTTCCTAAGGAATCTGTCTCATGTTGCTGCTCTGTGAGAGTCCACCTCAGCTTTGCCTGATTGTTGACTGTAGGAAGGACAATCCAGAGTCAAAAAAATACCCCAAATCTCAAGATATCAAGTCTCTTCTCTCCCTATGTAGAATAGATAAGGTCTTGGAATACAAAGCAAAATTAATTATGGCCATGAGGCCAGCAGTTAAATATTATGATTAAGGTACTAATGTGTATAATTAATAATGTAGACAATTAAAAATTCTACAGATGAAAGGTCAGTTTAGAATTGGGTATAATTCAAGTTGGGGTTTTTTTTTTTTGGTTTACAAAAAGAATAAACTAGTGTCTATAAATGTTGAATTGATTCTAAACAGTTTAACATGATATAGAAGCTTGACAGTATTTTATGTTTGCATAACATTGTCATCTACACAGTGACTCTGGAAAGGGAGCATATTTTCATCTCTATTTTATAAATGAGGAAACTTAGAACCGTGGAGGTTATATGACTTAACTAGTTGCATCATACTGTTCACTAGCAAAGCTGGGAGTTGCTTCTATTTCCTAGTCTAGTGCAAGTGCAAGTTGCTCAGTCATGTCTGACTCTTTATGACCCCATGGTCTATACAGTCCATGAAATTCTCCAGGCCAGAATACCAAGTGGGTAGCCTTTCCCTTCTCCAGGGGATCTTCCCGACCCAGGACTCAAACTGGGGTCTCCTACATTGCATGTGGATTCTTTACCAACTGAGCTCAGGGAAGCCCTCCTAGTTTAGTAATCAGATTTAAATCTAGATTTTTTTTGATTCATGGTCTCGAAATCTGACTCCACACTACAGCACCTTCCCAAGTCCAGGAGAAAGAACTCATTTATTCAGCAGTCATGTTTTTGATGGCCGTGCCAGGTACTGTTCCAGAATAGAAGCATGACGACACAGAAAAAGGGCTTCCCTGATAGCTCAGTTGGCAAAGAATCCGCTTGCAATGCAGGAAACCCCGGTTCGATTCCTGAATCGGGACTACCCCCTGGAGAAGGGATAGCCTACGCATTCCAGTATTCTTGGGCTTCCCTGTGGCTCAGCTGGTAAAGAATCCACCGGCAATGCAGGAGATCTGGGTTCAATCCCTGGGTTGGAAAGATCCCCTGAAGAAGGGAAAGGCTACCCACTCCAGTATTCTGGCCTGGAGAATTCCATGGACTGTGTAGTCCATGGGGTTGCAAAGAGTCAGACACGACTGAGCCGCTTTCACTTTCAACATAGAAAGAGCCCCGTCATCATGGATTTTTTATTTTAATTTGAGGTCAGATATGACAACTTCTTAGGAGAAAATTTAAACAAGACAGGGTTGCTGGAGTGGGCATCATTTTTAAATAGATTGGTTCAGAGGAGGCGTCATTGAGGTGGTTTCTGAGCAGGAATCTGAGGAGAGAGGCAGTGAGCCAGGGGCTAAAACTGGGGAAAAGGGATTGAAGCCCTGAGTGTAACTTACAAGGCTCTCGAGCAGAGGTGTGTTTGGGATGTCTGGGAAACACAAGCTGCAGCAGAGTGGGCAAGGGGCTCCCATGATAGTAGTGAGGTCAAATCAGGGGTAGGGTCACACCACATGGACTCTCAGAGACTACTGTAAGGCCTTTGGTTTCTAGTTTAAGTAGAATGGCAAGATTTTGGCCTGACAAAGGATCCTACTGGCTACTGAGTTGAGAATGGTCAAGGGTAGAAACAGGGAAATCAGTCAGAAAATCATTGCAATAATTTGGACAGGAGGTGATGGTGGCTTTGGACAAGGCCGTGGAGGCAGAAGTGGTAAGAAGTGGCAGATTTTGGTGGCATTTTTAAGGCAGAACCAATGAGACATGATGATGGGTTGGTTGTGGGTGGGAGTTAACAATGACTCCAAGGTTTGGGGCCTGAGCCAATTGAAGTGGAGACTCCCCATTTACTGAGCTGGGGCACCTGGAGGAAGAGCAGGTTGTTGAGGGGTAGAAGGTCATTTACAGGCATGTTTAAGACACTTGCCAGATGTCTAACTGGAGATGTTACTAAGTAGCTGAATATACAAATCTGTAATCAGGAGATTGCCACAGAATAAAGGTCTAGATTAGGGTGGTGTCAGCATGTCATAGTATTTAAAGCCAAGAGATGAGGTAAGATTCCCTAGGGAATGAGCATAAATAAAACCCTCTGTGAGTTTAAGCATTGATCACACCAAAGTTTTGATGGAGGTAAGCAGGAACTGATAAGAGACCAAGTGGATAGCAGAGAGGAAGGCAGAGAGCTGGTGTATTATTCTGGAAGCCAAGCGCAGAAAGCATTTCAAGAAGGAAGAAGTGATTGGCTGCCGAATGCGGCAAACAACAGAGAAGCAACCTTTGGATTTGGTATCATGAAAGAAGAGGGCTTGGAGACGGCAAATACACAGGCAGTTTTTAACAGCAATTTTGTTGTTAAAGAAAGGAGAGGCACAGCTGGCAGAAGAGCCTGGGTGGAACAGCGTTTCTAGTTTTTGTTTTAAGATGAGAGAAATTATGTCATGTTTGTGTACAAATGGAATTATCTGAGAAAGAAATTGGTGCAGGAGAGAAAGTGGGAAAATTGCTGAAGTTGTGTCCCTGAGATAGGAGGGGACTGAGCCTAACTCACTGGTTGAGGATGAGGATGCTTAGACTGGAGCACAGACCTGTCCTTCCTACAAGAGCACAAGCAAGCATGTGGACACAGATGCTGGTTGGCAGGAAATGTGGTTGTAGAAACTGTCTCCTGATGGTTTTCATTTCCTTAGTGAACTAGGAAAGAAATCATCTGCTGAGGATGGGAAGGGAAGTGTTGAGGACTTAAGAAGAAGTGAACTGAGTGTGGGAGATGAATGGGCCAGAGAAATAGCAGTGTGACTGC